TTGGAGTGCTCAAATAAGGTAGACAATCACTATGTAAGCACAGGTCCACATAGAGGGGTAAAAGTGACCTTCAGTTTACACTTAACTTTGTTTCTCAGTGACAAATATTATTAATATCAACGGGATAACCTGAACTATTTATAAATGAGTAGGGGGAAAAAAATTTCTGCATTGTTATAGCCATTTTGCCTGCTGAATGAGGGTAATCAGTCGAAACTGCCCTTGATGACTGCCATTGACAAGTGAGAGGATATTTACTAAAAGGTTTTGTTAGGTTAGATTTTTATTTGGGATCACTAGAATCTATAGTTTTTTTTTAACCAACTGAATAATTACTTAGAAATCTGCAGACATATCAGTATAAAAGAATGTGTGGAGGCAGCTGTAGACACAATAACTGGTGCCTGATATCGGTCACGGCCACCTGTTAGCTCAGTTCCTGCAAAACAAGCATTTTCTATGAAGAGTGGGATATGGCTCTTAACAGGGTCCATTCGTCTTCTATATGTTCAAGACATTCCTTAATACAATTCAAAGTGTTACACAGGTTACATTTCTCAAAAGCTAAACTAGCAAAAATATTTCCAAACGTAGAGCCATTGTGTGATAGATGTAAACAGACTCCAGCTACTTCCCTTTATATGTTCTGGTCCTGTCTGACAATTGCTCCCTTCTGGTTATCCTTTTTTGATGTCATCTCTAAAGCCTATGCCTATAACATCTTGCCTTCCCCCTTGGTCTCAATTTTTCTGGTATAATGACTGCTGCTCCCCCTGCCCGTTTACAGAGGGTCATTGCCTTTTCGTCATTATTAGCAAGACGCCTGATTTTATTTAAACGGAAGTCTACTACTGCTCCATCACACCACCACTGGATAAGGGATGTTATGCAAAATGGCAAGCTGGAAAAAATCAGATGTACTCTCAACTGATCCATCAGCAAATTCCACACAACATGGGACCCTCTGATAGCATACGTCAACAATCTACCTGGTCTGAAACTGTGAATGTTCCAGACCAGTTCCTACCACCCAGATAAATGCACATTCTCATATAAAACTCTGTGTAATTCATATAAAAATACATCTATATATCCATTTTTTTGAGCACCCATCTAATTCAAAGTCACAGGGTGGCTGAAGTCTATACCAGGACACCAGTCTATCACAGGGCTAATATGAGATTTAGTGCAGTAAACAATAAATAAATAAATAAAATGTAGGACAATGTTAAAGAACAGAAAATAAAATATTAACATTTACTGTTTAAAACGTTTAATTTCAGTGTAGTTTTCATCACTGTCACTGTTGGTTTTCTTTTAGATCAGTTGCAATATAGATAATATTTGACAGACTGAGATTTAGAAAGTTCAGATGAGATAATACAACACAAGCACTTGACTCGCTGTCAACACATTATTGTTTGTGCCTCAGATTCAACAAGGTGCTGAAAACATTCCTCAGAGTTTTTGGTCTATGTCAACATGATAGCATCGACAGTTGCTGCAGAATTATTCGCTGCACATTCCTCAAGAGAATCTCTCGTTAGCCCATGTGCCACAGGCGCTCTGCTGGATTGCAATCTAAACTGTGGAGGTAATTTGAGTACAGTCAACTTACTGTTTTCTTTAAGAAACCAGTTTGAGATGATTTGAGCTTTGTGACGTGGTTCGTTATTCTGCTGGAAACCATTAAGAAGATGGGTACACTGCAGTCATGAAGGGATAAACATGGTCATCAGCAGTACCAGGCAGGCTGTGGAGTTTAAAAGACGCTCAATTGCTACTAAGCGGCCCAAACTGTCCCAAGGACATGTCCCCCTCAATTTTTCAACCTCAATAAACATGAATGCAACTAAAAGATATATAATTAAAGGTTTATTTTTTCAAATAATCAATCATTAATGGAGATGCGCTGGTATTAACTAAATGCACACTAATCAAATAATAATTTGACCAGATTCCATTAAATTTAACATTTTATACTGTACATAAATAACAAAAATATTTCAAAACTAACATGTAATAAAATAACTTAATGGCACAATTAAGCCACCAGTGGCCTGAATTGTTGATACAAAGCAGGATGGAGCCACGCTCTTATCTTTACCCCCCAAAAATGACCCTACCATCTGAATGTCACAGCAGAAACTGAGACTCCATAAGCTTGAGGCGACATTTTTTCATTTCATATATCGTCCACTTTTGGTGAGCCTGTGTGAACTGTAGCTGTGAACTGTCCTGTTCTTGACAGCTTCAGCCCACGGTGTGGTCTCGGTGCTGCTGAAGCCCATCTGCTTTAAGCCTTGACATGTTGTGCATTCAAAGATGCTCTTCTGCATACCTTGGTTGAAATGAATACCTTTCTTCTGTTCAGTTCAGTTCAATTCAATTTAATGTTAGTTATATGGCGCCAAATCACAACAACACTTTCCTTAATACAAAGAAAACCCCAACAATCATATAAGCCCTGTGAGCAATCGTTTTGGCGACAGTGGCAAGGAAAACATTTTCCATAATATTTCAACAGGAAGAAACCTGCAGCAGGGAGGGTCGTCATGTGCCGCGAGCGGTTGGGGTGAGGGGAGGAGGACGTTGTGGAGATCTAGATCTGGGATCTGACAAAAACTAAAACTATCATTAAAACTCATTTTATTTTTATTCAGTTTCGTTTTTATATTAATGTTTTAATCATTGAAACGCTGAAATTTGCAAAGTCTGTCGTTTGTTTTTATTTCCCGTTTTATGGTCATTTTGATGGTACGCGTTTCACCGAGGGACACCTGAAAGCAGCACGTCATTGAGCGTGGACAGCAGCGTCGTTGCGGTGTCCTGCTCACACATCCGCGATGACACCCAACACCAGACTTTGCTGTTCACGCGCGCACAGTGGATGAAACGAGGCTGTCACGTGCCTCGCATATTCCCTAACAAATCTAGAAACGTGCCGGATCATAAGAAGCGCTTTCACGCGGCATTCAGGGAGCAAAAGAATCAGACAAACGGCTTTTTGCGCCACCTGTCGAGCGCACGAGAAACATACGACCTGTGTCTGTTGTAATTATAAGCCTGATCCAAAACCATTGAGAGGGGAGGGACAGGTTTCCATGTAAGCTCACCCGTTTTCCCTGCTATAAGAGGATACCCACTACACTAGCAGTGTGATAGTGGGACTTTTAATTGTAAATAATTCTCAGTATCACGCCTCTGCACGGGTGTAGGAGTTGGGCTGAATTTGATATACTGAAAAAGGCTTAGTGAGCCAGGGCCTAGCTTATATTATACGATATTATAAGACTGTTTATAAGATATTATAAAACTGTTTGATCAAAACTGTCAAATGTAACCAGAAGAAAAGGCTCAGACTCAATTTTGAGCTTATTTTCAACACTAAATTTCAACTATGAAATAAGAAGGTAAAGTTCTCACATTTGCATACTGGCTTTCAATATTTATTTATTTATTTTTTAAAGATGATCTCTCCTTGGGTCACACTTTAGAAATGTAGGATACGCACAGAAGACATATCTGAGGAACTGATAAGCAGTGAGGTGAACTCATCCTAACCCAAAGAAGTCAAATAAAGCAGGGCAGGTTATTGCAGTTTCAAACCGAAGTGAGGCTGAAATTACAGGCCTGCATTGATTTTAAATGGAAGATGAAGGTCGTTTTTGCAGTAAAAGCTGGCTGGAGCTCTTGCCAGCAAAAGAAGACCCAATGAAAATGACAGATAGCTATTAATTATACTGGGCATTAAGGGCAGTCTGGATTTAATTAGACCCATTGAGCGGGAGGAATCACAGCAAAAATAGATATCATGCATAGGTCAGTGCTTTTCCATACTTTGAAAGTCTTCACTTAAGACTCTTTATTTTCTCGCCTTTCTGTGATCGCTGTGGCTGAATTTGACGTGGTAACAAAGTAGGGCGACAACAAGAATGAGACTTAAAAATCGATCAGATTTAATTTAAACGGCAACCACAACTCACATAAGCTTGGGCTGATCAGTCTTCATGTCTAGACAGGCAGAAAGGCAGCACAGGCACTCCCTGTCCTGATGTACTGCTATGCCAAAGCCACTGAACCCACATTTCCTTCACAGGCTTCAGTGCCAGGAGAGCCATATTCATAAAAACAAATGAATTCATTGCTTTGATATTTCTGTTATTGGTTCGTGACCTTGAAAGGCTTCCAGAGGGTCTTCAGGTGTTTTCAAAGTCGTTTCCATGCAGCACTAAAGGTTGACCACCAGGTGGCAATCTGCTACAAGAAATATGTTAGCAGAGACTTAACTAAGATCTTTTAATCCACAACCTGGAGCTATGTCCCAGTTTTTTTTGTCAGTGCGCTCAGTAAATGGCCAGTTTAAACCTCAGGTTTGCTTCCATGTTAATTAAAATCCATGTTTTCATGCCAGCTTCGCAGGGACACTCACTTTGGTATCTTGTTTTGGAAAGCAGGCTACAATCCCACCCCCCTCAAAACACCCTCAAGTGATTTTTTTTGATGCTTCCTCGCTCCGCTGCAAGATAAACAAGCCTAAAAGCTTCAATTAGCCCTTAAAAATCCTATGAGCAAGCTCAAGTAGCATACGCAGTGAAGATGATTCACAACATCCTGCATTAACTTTGTCAGTTATAATCCATCACTTGGTAATAGTCTTAAATAAATCTCATAGTAATTGAGATGAATCCCTCATTTCAATGACAAGTCTGGTTTTTAAGACCCAATTACCACTTTGAGTTCTCTGGCCCAGAGGATGTGCGGCGTATGAGAAGAGGGGGGCAGCGAGCTGGCTGCTTTGGCGGAGAAGCGAGGATGGAGAGATGGACTCGGTCCAAATAGGGATGGATATCTTCCTCAGGGGCTGCACTGCATTAGAGGCCAGGTAGATTTATGACAAACGCACACAATCTTAATTTGTGCTCAGCCCGATAATGCATCTCAAGGCCAGAATAGTTCTGCTCAGTGTTTCTTAACTGGATGTTTCTTTAATTATATGTCAGAGGCCATAAAACTCAAGAGGAGATTTTCCCACAAAGCACTGTTTTATGTCTCGGTCATTACTGTAAATTACAAGTAACAAGAAAATATGGAGGGAAAAAATCAAAAAGAAAAGTGGGTTTATTTGTTTCCATACACTCTTTTTTTTTTTCAGCCTGTTGGTACACTGATCATCTGTAAGCCTCATCAAACATGACACAGTTGCTGCTTCCCCCCACTAAAAAGCAAACTTGCAGGAGGAAGAAGAGGGGGGGGGGTCGTTCACCTTAAAGCAGACGTGTGTGAAAACAGAAACTCGTCACGTGAAAAGGAGAGAGGAAAAACAAACCTGTACAAATACTGAATAGATGAATAATACAAGAGCAGCTGTAAACATATACATATTCACACACAAAAAAAAAACCAACCTTCAGTGCTCCCCTCCCCAAACATCCAGCAAGACAAGTCATTTCTATTCTTCAGATGGCGTGTGCACACTTACTGTATCGTTATCAGACACGACGGTTAATACTAGGAATAATAACAATTCGAGAAATCACAAAAACCTGCCGGTTCACCGACCTCTACGTGAAAATTCATGACGGCTGTACACAAAAGCTCCTGCCTCCGCAGCCCTTGGCTTTACAGTCCTGCCCACTCTGTCCCCCCCAGTCTGTTGTTATATTGCCTTTTTTTGTTTCAACATGATGCCGCTTAATCTTTGGTGAAAACATTTCTCCATTCAGTTACACATTTGTTTGTTTTTTTGTTTTGTTTTTTAATGTATGCACAAAATACCTTCTGCAAAATTTAACTAAGCTGCTGATCTGTCTGAAGAATAAGAAGGGATTCAACATTTCAAATGATTTAAAAGCACCCTTCTTTCAGTCTGTGGGGGAGCATTTCCTCACCATCGGCTTGGCACGCACGCACGCACGCACGCACACACACACAAACAGTAAAATCAGTCAGTGCATGGTTTGCTTTCCCTCGTCTATTTTCAGTCTTTCACCCCAAAGCCACTTCTGTGGCGTCCATGTCTGGAGGCACAGCTCAGCTCAGCTCAGCTCGAACCCGGAGGATGACTCGATGGCGTACAGCAGCTTGTTCCTCATCAGGTGCTGGTCGCAGAACTCGGGGAGCTTGAGCAGGTTCATGCAGGTGCTGGCGGTGGGCAGGCGATCCAGGTCAGTCCCTCCGTTGTGGATGCAGAAGGCCGGGTATAGCTCCTGTTTATGAGTGAAGGGCTTCAATTAGAAACTGATAGAGAGAAATCTCTACATCCCCGAGGCGTTTAAGAACCATGGAAATTAAAAAGAGAAAAAAAAAATGAGGCGACAAGCAACACGTGTCCGTAATGATCCCAATTTCAAAACCAATTCAGATTAAGCAATAACTGTCAACTTCCACAAGGGGATAAATGTTAAAAGAGAGACATTAAGTGCTAAGCTAATACAGTGGAAGTATAAATTGAGGAAATAATCTTAGTGCTTGAAAGGTACCGAGTGGGGAAATCAGCCCACGGTTTGACCCTTGGATGAGACGCTGGAGGAATGGTCATTTCATGTTGTCTAGCTGGCATTTTTTTAAATCAAGCCTCTCGCCGATGAGGCCACCTCATCCGCAGGCGGTGACACGGACCGTTTCCATCACTGGCCGGGCCAACGCACCAGGTACTCCGCCCTGATTTCATCCTGCTTTTTAAAGTTAGCATAGATGGCTCAGCGGCCACACTTGCCCGATTAAATGGCTCTTTAGGGGTTTGGCCATAATGACCCCATTTTTCTGACAATTACCGTATTAAACTATCGTTGCTTATTGAGAAAGTGTCATTACCGCAGGCATCATTTTGGGGGGGAAAAATGGAGAGTTTCCATCATCTTTTTTAAACGGCTTCTCCTGACAGAGCTATTTCTCCTCTAATGAATCCTGGGCCGAATCACGACAGCTAATTAAAGCTTAGCTGGCTTGAGCTGAGGGCCGGGTCAGGGGCCGCTTCCCTACGAATTACCACCTTCTGCAGCCCAGAGACGAGCGGAGGCGGCAGGAGCGGAGTCATATTTATCAATGGTGGAGTGAAGGCAACACTCAAACACAGAGAGGAGGAGAGCGTTGCTCCCCACAGCGCAAAAATCAAGTTTTCTTAACCGATGACAATAACAAGGAGTACTAAAACCAATCATATCATGATTACACCTTCTGGTTTGACAAAGTATGACATAAAAATTGTTTAATGGCTCAGAGTAACACTTTCTCCTTTTTTCTCCTATCTCAAACTACTTAAGTGTCCCACAAATCAAGTCAGTGAGAAAGCGAAACAGCTTCCAATTAGGAAATCATTTCAGAAATAGGAGGTTAGCGGTAATGATTCAGCAAACGGTCTTCAGAAGTAGATGGATGGAGTTTCCTTGCATATTAATCTCGCAGAAAACTGCTGCTTTCTGCCCCGTCGCGCAAAGTTGAAAAGTTCAAGAGGCTACCAAGTTCTGAGCGGCAATATTTGACCAGCCAAGGTTTTTCCAGCCAAGCCCACGCATGCGAAGCTGCAGACAGACTTCTTCTGCAGAGGAAGGTCATGAACTATAAAACAACAGTGGACGTGGTGATAAGACTCGGGTCATATCGCCAGCTAATTTGAAAACGATCGTTTTCAAAGCTGTTATCAGTCTGGGCATTTTCATTACAAGCCTATTAAAGAGGGAACACTCCCTTCTGTTGAGGATGGAGAACCAGAGGATAATGGTGGGCAAGGCAAGTGCAGAGAGAAGAAGGGGGGGGAGTCCACATCACCTTGAAGCCCAGCAGCGGTGGTCTGGAGCAGCTGGTGACAAACTTCAGCAACTTGCGCTTTTCGTCATCTGTGAATCCTTCGACCACCTCCCAGAAGATCTGGATGACGGGATGAGTGGCTGAATACCCGCCTGAAGATGACGATGAGGGTGTAAAGTTAGAATGAAATTTCTCAGTTCTATAAATGAGAATTTGCAGAAAAAACATACACAAGAAAATAAAGCACTTTGTACCTACCTGAGTAGTTTGTAAAGTTTTTTAGGTCGTCGAGACAAATTGGCACATGAGCCCCAGATATCAGAACCTTTAAGATGTATAAAGCATATTTTTAGCTTCTTTAACACATTTTATGTTTCTTCAGGTTCAGTTATTTATGTCACGTGTAGAATACCTGAATCTCCTGCTGGTCAAACATGCGCAGCCACTCCAGGTTGACCACATTGGCCAGACCCTGTCTGAAGGCCAGGCAATGAGGCCTGATCTGCTTGTTGAGCCTGTAGTCAGCCACCAGATGGATGTAGGCTATTCGGTTTGCCGTGGTCACAGGAATATCTTTGCCTCCAAGCTTCAGCTCAACCACCTGCATCAGAAGGCACACGAGGCATTTACACGGTTCTTTCACAGTTCTTCATTTTCTCTTTAAAGTTCTTCAGTTGCGAGGTGACCGTTCGAGTATTTATTTGCAGCGTGCAGGATTTAATTCAATAACACAAAGGTCATTAAAATAGTTTCAGCAGCACTTTGATTAAAGGTAAAGCTCTCTCCATGCAAGTGTGAGGAGAAGTGCACTTCAGTGTTTCCAAATATAGCCCGACTACTGAACATCTGGTCCAATACAATTTGGCCCAGTGTTCTCTTTTCATTAGCTTTAGAGCAGTTAGCACTTGATAAGATGTGCTCGTCTCAGTTCATAAAGCTGGCAGTGCGATGACATCATAGCATCGGCAGGAGTAAGAAAAGAAAAAAAAAAGTAATGTTCATCTTTTTCCAACGCTGTCTTGGGATATGAGATTTTGTGTTTAGACAATTAAATTACTCACATGTATAAACGTGACTTCAGAAACTTTATTTCCTCTTTCTTTTACTCCAATAAATTGATTACAGGGGTTTAAAAAATACTCACTGCCTTTGTTGCTGCTGCATTTCCTGCAAATACTGCAACACTGCACCACGTGGCAATGTGAAAAGTTTTAATCAGGACGATCCACACGGCGGATTAAATCTCATCTCAAGGTACTGCAGGACTGGGTTTGCATTAATTTTCCTAATTTTAGTCAGTGTGTTATTTGCAGCTGGCCAAAATATGGATAACCACCTTTCTGTGTCTTTCTACCTAAAGTGCCAGTTATCAGCTCAGACTCTTCCGGATGAAGAAAAATATGAACTTGCACTGATTGTCAGCATCACTGTCACAGATAGCTCGACTAAAATGAGCTCAACATCATCGTTTTGCAGTGAACAACTTTCAGCTGCCACGTTGGATCAGGTTGTCATGCTGGAACCAGTTCCCTTTCTGTTTGTTATTTTTCTCATAAACCTCCAACACGTGGCAAACAGGAACGCCGCTTTTAACAATGGTCGTATGCAGACGGTCACAAAAACTGACCGATAAACACTTTACAGGATATTTGTTTAACTAAAATAAAAACTATTGTCTGAAACTGCAGCGGTGATGAATCAGCACCTCTGACGCATTCTTAACAAAAACTGATCGATAAGCTTCACAAAGGCGCTCAGTGCCGCAATACTCAGCCAGACCGCACTATAATGTATAATGTTTTTCTTGTGGTTTTTTGTGTTATTTTTCAGCTTCTACCTTTGCACTGCTTGTGGTCTAACTTAAAGTTAATCATTTTCTGTCTTTTTCTCACTCACAGTGGATTCTGATTATGTGCTAATGTAAGAGAATTACTATTGTTATCTTGCTTGCTTTGGCTATCTCACGAGGGCAAATGCAGGGCAGACTGCTCCCGGGTGTGTGCCTAATCTTTCACAAATTGTTTTCCCTGTCGTGTTTGCGACCAGGAGGGCTGTACCGTGACTCAACCATTTCAGGTGTTTGAGAAGAGCTAATACGACGCGCTAAGACCCTGAGTAAACAGGAGCTCCGTGCAGAGTGCAGGTCTGGGCTTAGGTGACTCAGAGTGATGGTGGTTGTTCACCTCCGGAGCCTTGAGCTTTGGAGGGGGCGTGCTTAAGAGCAGCTAGCTGCTTCTGTCAGGCGTGTTGTGAGGTAATTTCTCGGGGAAAGGCAGGTGGAACGGTCAACAGAGCTGCTGTGTTCGCTGCACCGCAGCAGGGCTTAGGGTGACAGCGGTGACGTGCTTTATCTCTCTCAGAGCTGAAAAGTGGTACATTATGAGGGAAATGAATTATTAACGCCACAAAGAGAAACCAAACAGGAGGAAGGACAGACGGCTAAGCATGACCAGGATACAAAGAGATGGGGGGGAAAAAAGTACACGTGAATCATTTATCCAACTAAATCCCACCCTGTCCCCAACCCCGGTCACCTGAGCTTCTCCCAGATCGTTGTTGACCACGGTGAAGTTAAGGCCCAGCTCTTCCACGTCACCCTCGTAGCTCTTGAGGAAAAGCAGGTTGCGATACATCTCTGGGTCCAGGGAGGCCAGGTGGTGAATGTCCACATCTGCGCTGGTTCCAAGAAGCTTGGACAGGAAGAAACTCGCAAAGGGCAATTCCACCAGCATGTTTTCATAAAGCGCCTGCGGGAAAATGTTGATGTTAATCCCTTAAAGCCTGCATCAAGAAATAATTTGCCACGAAATTCTGTTTTGTTTTGGGGGTTTTTTAATTGAGGGTTTAAACCTTCTGACAAAAACTCAAAATTGATTTGTATAATATTTTCTGCATTCAGCATAAAATCTACCTTTACCGCACCAAATCCATTCAAGTTTAGCAGTAAGCAACATCTCATTAAGGCAACTTTTAATACAGGGAGTTGATTCTAAATTCGATTCCAATTAAAATGTATTTCTCTGTATCAATCGTGCCCTCCCTCAGAGTTTGTATTTGTCCAACCAGAGAAGCCAAATAAAATGTTTTTTAGTTTCATTGCATCAAACACCACAATTAAATAACTAAGAGCCTGCTTCCAGCAGCAACCAAAATGCTAGCAAGCACATATTAAAGAAAAAAAATAATAACAAAATATCACATTTGCCTGAAACTCCTAACAATGAACGAAGTGATAGAGACTTCATCCGATCACATCTGAAAATACACAAAACAACCTACCGCAAACACACACGCTTCTGCTTCACCGGACTCAAACTTTATAAATGCCAATTCTCACCTTGACCTTAAATGCCATTAAGTACCACAGCCGGGCAGGTGACTCATAAAACGAAAAGCTAATGTACTTGAATAGTCCGAAAAAGAGCCCATTGGAGACATTAAAATATACAGGTCTTTATAAATGATTGCGCTAAAAACCCTGACCGCATCAGCTAAATGGATTATAAATCTAGAGGATTTCCATAATGCATGCATCTTAAACACACACACACGCAAGCATAAATCACGGCTATTTTCTAAACACAGGTTAATTGTGCAACTCCAAACATTGTCTATTTTTTATGCAAAATAATCCACTTAGCATTTCTCTCGTGGCCGCGACTCATTTCAGACCATATGCGCGGCGTGGCCCCTTGAAACCTATCAATAACACTTGTGCTGGGAAGAGGCAGCATTAAGTATATGGAAAAAACCTGTAGCCTTATTTTTTTCAATGCCATTTACTTTATTTATGAGTGTTTATTGCCAGAAATTGTGCCAAAATGACTTGGGCTGGAAAGAATTAATTATTATGGCCCAGGCCCTTTTAATATAAGTGAGTGCAGTGGCAACGCAATTAAAGCAGATCGCGGCACCATCAGGTGGAATAAATGCCAACAACATTGCAGGTGCATTCTGTTAGCTGCCAAATAAACTCCTTAATTTACAACATTAAAAATCAATAAAATTATAATGCCTTCCAAACGCATCTCTATCAATCAGCAGTGCAGAACTATCAGTCAGAGAGCAGACTGTGCAGAGAGCTGGTGTTTGGGTCGGATCAAAGCAGTTCACAAAGAGAAAAGGCCACTGCCGAAGAGGCTGGAAGAGAATCTTGATATTTGGACAAACGCATGCTCCCATCTAGATTAAACGCAACTTTTTAATCTTTAGGTTGAAGCGATGCCACCGCAGCAGCAAAGTAACCTGTTTTCATGTTTTCCCATTTGTGGCTTAAATCTTTCAGCTTGTCAGCTGGGTGGACAAGTGAGGAAGAAGGATGATGGCCGGCCTCTATTCTGATGTTCAATCCACTTTCAGTGAGTACCCCCAGACAAGCCACTCCTGCCTGTAATACATCACCTCCACAACAATGGCACGCCTCGGACATTAATTAACAATATTAATCTCCTGTGTCCTTTGAGCCGCGCCGTGCACTGTGCACACTGCAGCAGCGGTGATGCAATCCCAATCTATATAAACGGTTGCCTTTTATCCAGGCAATAACGGCACTAAACAAATATCAATACACCTCTCAAGTGGCCACTCAAACGTCCATTTTTATGGAGAAAGAGGAACTTAAGGTAAGGTTAATTGAAAGTCAAATTCAAATTAATTTCCCACCGCCTAATTGCCTGAACCATTAGCTCTGGGGAGCACAATGTTGCAAGACGTAGGGGTGGGGAGCTTGTAACTGCTGATTGATCATGTCTCACTTCCACAGAATGCAGAGAAGAAGAAAAAAGGAGAGGAGAGGAGGGGGGGGGGGGGCGGCTCAGAGCTCTGATAAGTGGACTGGACCACCCAGGGCCGAGCAAGAGAGAAGAGACCTGGATGTTCCTGACTGTAAAAGAGATCAAAATGCTATTACCACATGCTTTGAACGCTTATTTATGTCCTGTCTCTGACGAGCTGCTGATTTAGTGCCAACCAAATGTGATCACTACACAAACAAGAGGTAGGAATCATCGGCTAATGGAAGATCTAATTGAGAGGCGACCGCTTGTCATGAGGTAATTCTTCTCCAGACTGAGATGATCCCCCCCCCCCTCCCAACAACGCACACCCCTGAAGGAGGCATCTTGATAAACAATCACACCACATGCATTAAGGATGATTTAGAAACATTAGGCTCTAATAAATAGTGCCATCAGGCAAGGAAAGGGGCAGAAAAACAATGCTATCAACAGATTACGCAAACTGCTCATTAATGAAAATAAAGCCCACGCAAGTGCCAGATTTAAGTTCTTGACAAACGCCTCCATTATATAGGTTAATATTTCTTAGTGTTTTACTTTGGAGGCTCACCTTTCCGAGGATCCTGCCTAAGAAGTAGTAGTGTCTGGTGAACGAGTCTCCCACCAGCATCTCTGCAGCGGGGCTGGGGTACAGCAGGCCCTCGTTGGTCGTCTTGAAGAAGCCCTGGTTGGGGTTGAAGCCCGATTTGAGGAGCTCATTGAGGAACTCGCGAAAGATCCCACCTCCGTCGATTCCCGCCTCATCCAGACCGTGAGCGTTCAGCAGGTGCACTCTGATCCTCTTCTTTAGGTCCGGTTCTTAAAAAAAAGAAAGAAAACAAAGACACGGGACATCAGGAAGATTTCATCAAGGTACAACAAGAATAAATATTAAAGGCACTCTCTGATAACATTCATGGTCACAGTAAACTGAATTTATTTTCCCTCCATAAATGTCACCAACAGCCTCCTGAAGATCTCAGAGATTTTTTATTCTTCACTTCACATTACTTTTTATAGTAATTTCCAGCAGGGAAATTAATTGAGACACACTGCCAGTATCTTCAGTCTAACAGTTAATGGTCATGTTGTCAGTTTTTATGATCACAAACCTATTTCCTGCCATGAAATTGAGAGAACAGCATATAAACGGAGGTTTTCACAACAAAGCTAGCTGCTAGCTTTAAAACAATAGTTTTAGCTTAAAGGCATATAAGGAAACAAACCATTTCCTGTGATATAAGTGGAGTGAGATTGTTATAATTCAGGACAAAACCGAACTCTTGCATCATTACTTTAAAGTTCGGTTTGACCTTGGTTACTCTTGGAAGTTAGGAGGCTGAGTTTCTTGTAACTTATTGGCAGCCCTGTGGATCAGCAGTCACAACATGCTGCTTTTTACATCACGTGTACACTGCATTCAGTATTTCTAATCATAAAAAATACACTTTCATATGTTTTTAAAGCTTAAAATCATCTGTTGTCTGATTTTTCCCCCCGATTAAACAATCCTTGCTGACTTATTTTCTAAGTGCTTTTATGAGCTAACAAATGAAATGTGACTGTGTTTACCAAACATGCCCTTCCTGGTAATCAGCTGGATGACCCCCATTGTTTAAAATACCCCTATATTTATGTAGTTTTATTTTGTTCTAAGCAGGAAATCAGTTTTGCAAGTAAAAATATAAACTGTTGTGAATAGAAACAATTAAATGCATATAAAAAAACAGTGATTAACACATCAAAGTAATCTATGGCTCACGGCAAAGGAGAAGAACTGAGCGGAGAGGCCCAACAACTTGTAAAAGTTAAGATCAAAGTCCAGATTTTTAGGCCATTTTGACAGAATCACATTAGTGGAGGTTTGCAAACATTCACTTACATAGCTTCCTCTACCTTCTTCCTAACTTTTGCCCTCAGTGACCTTCTGAGTAACCCTGTGAAACCATTTACACAGTGACTAAATTATTTCATATTCAGTGCAGCCGACAGGAAATATTCCTGTTCCATTTCGATGTCACCTTTATGTTAAAACTAAAACTTGAACATTTTATCGAGCTGACTGGTTCTATTTTTTTAAATAATTAATAAAATTGCAATTATTTTGACTTGTTATTATTATCCATCTATTAAATATTAAAAGGTTCCTTTAGAGGGTTGAACTTATTTACCATCAGAAAATGTAAAAACAGTATTAATGTATACACTTGCCACCCACTGTTAGGGAAACTGCTCATTAATCCAAATATTTAATCAGCCAATCACAAGGCAGCAAATCAATACATTTAGGCGTGTAGGCATGGTTGAGATGACCAGCTGATGTTCAAACTGATCGTCAGAATGAGGAGGAAAGATAATTTAAGTAATTTTTAGCATGGTGGCTGGTGCCAGACGGGCTTTTCTGAGTATTTTAAAAACTGCTGATCTGCTGGGATTTTCCACACACAGTCATCTGTAGATTTTAAAGAGAATGATCCAAAAAAGAGACAATATCCAGTGAGCAGTAATTGTCTGCATGAAAATGCCTTGATGAGGTCAAAGTTCAAAGGAGAATGGTCATGCTGCTTCAGGCGGACACAAATAACCACTCATTACAGCCACGGTAGAAGAAGAGCATCTCTGAACACACAACACACTGAAATTTGCAGTAGGTGGGCTCCAGCAGCAGAAGATCACACCAGGTGCCACTGCAGCTGTTTTCTGTCCAGTAAGAAAGAGAAACTGAGGCTACAATTTGCATGGGTTTAGTATCGTGGATATGAAGCCGACAAATCTACAGCCACTGTGTGATATGGAAACAAGTCAACATGGACCAAAATCTCAGAGGAATGTTTCCAGCATCTTTTTGAATCATCGATGCAAAGAATTAAAGCATTTCTGAAGGCAACCCAGTACAAGCAAGGTGTACCTAATGAAGTGGACATTAGGTGTATATATTCCCACAAGTCTGAAGTGCTGTGCGTTTTAATCCAACAAACATATTTTGCGCTAAAGCACTTTCTTGACCTGCAAAATATTATAATCAAATTCTGTAAAAGGTCATCTTTCAGAATAATTAATGTATGGCAATAAATCAAGACAGCTATAACGTATATACACACATGAATGATATAGATCATGTCTTTAGCCCAGGTCTCCTACTACTCTTTTTAATCAGATTGCTCCCTCTCGAGCACCCTTTCAAATTCAAACACAAAAGAGGTGACTTAAAATAATTGATTCTGCTTTTATGCGCTCCATTATAATAATCGCGACCACAATTACAGCTTTACTGAAACTCAATACTCTGCACAGGAGGAGAGCCAACCTTCATCTTTGCTGCTAACCAAAACCTTGATCCTTGATATTAAGATTTTAATGGAGCATAACAAGAGTTTCGGGAACATTATCGGCATTTACTACAGAATGCCGCCTCATTTCTTGTGCTCGGAATGACGCAGCTGCACGTTTTCTATGGTGTAATGTGCTATGATGTACTCGCTTCACATTGTTTACCCACAAAATAATGCACGTATTACAGTTTTCTTTTATTGAAATTGTAACGCGCATGCAGTACCGTTTTCTGGAGAGAGTTTGTCGTAGGCGTCCTCATATATGTAGTTGCGCCTGATGGTGACATTGATGCCGTCGGGGAACGGGCCGTCCCCCTGCACATCTCGCTTGTCGGCGAAGATTAACCTCTGGAAGATCTACAAGACAGACATGAACCCGGTGACAGGGTCAGTGACAAATCCTGGGAGTTATAAAATGTTTAATCCTGCGAATTATTTTGAGCTTTAGATTTTGAACATACAAACACGAACAATTCCTAAAAGCAAAGCGCTGCTAACCAATGATGGGTAAAATCCAAATATGTAACTGGATAACTGAAACAAATGGATTTTTGCTTCTCTACTTTTACCTCCAATCAATAAAAAAATATGAATGTAGCTACAAAGACGTAAAGCGCTGCACTCGAGTTGTTACCACAGTGTTAAATACTTACTGGCAAGCTTTAATATTCTCAAAATAACCAGCAAATTTAATAGCATTATATGTATACTATATAAAGGCAATCACTATAATACAACACTCAAAGCCTTATGGTGCAGCTGAGTATGGAGCAGCGGTGCAGTACCTTCACTCGCTCCTCGAAGGGCACCACAAATGGGAGCTCGGTGAGGATGGCCAGATGTCTTTCCTCGGACACAGACAGCTGTGGAGGCTCTAAACCAACTAAAAAAAACAAAAAACAAACCCACAGTGTTCGATATTTTACCGATTGCTTTAATGCAGGGAATCAGGCATTTTCTTCTTGTTTTTATACAATATAGTTATTTAGTGATTTTTGTCCAAATCACAGTAAAAAAAAACTCATGATCTAAATACTTTGTGCTTTTATAAAAAAAAAAGTAACTTCATGAGTCTCAGATTTAACCAGGGGCATAATTCCCAGGGGGGTTATGACCCAACCAATATAATCCCCCCAATAAAATTATGAATTATCTTGCATAAATACCAGCAAAATAGTTGCATGTTTATTCATCTGGGGATTTATTTATTTATTTAGACACAGATCTTGACCCCCCCAATGTTCAGCACAAAGTTACGCCGATGAATTTAACCCTCAGTATGTGCAATATAATTGTTCATTAATACACAATATTTGTAATTTAACAGCCAAGTGGTTTTTGAGCTGGAAGCACACTCTCCAACATCACTCTGTAACACTCATCTAACATAATCGCTCCTCACTGTTAAGCATTACGATTAAAACGCGTTCCACAGGCCAACCATTAAATACCCTTTCCACCCTACAGCCTTTTAATTAACCCAGCTGTGACCTGTCCATCCACCTGCTGGGCTTTATCCATTAGGCTGCTGTTTGTTTTGTATTAAACTTGGCATTTAGACTGTTTAGCCCACAGAAGAAAAAAAACGCTACAATAGCTAAACCGCTCTTCACCCTCCTCCGTGTCCACTGCAGCTCAATTATTCTGCCCAATTAGTCAATCTGATCTGCATTTTCCCATCAGGTTTCCATCTTTGAGGAGAAATATGGCCTCTGAGTGGTCAATACATTGCTCATTCATCAGCCATGGGGCTGTCCATTTAAGGAAATGAGAAAAGGCCAGACAAACACGTGGACCAGATGTGGCTGACTTCATCAGGTACTTTCACGCTAATTGAATTTATCCCACACGGCCTCTGAGTGGCACTGGGTAGATCATACACACATTTTTATCAGCTTGTTTTCACACCGTACTTCACAGAAACCCAAAGTGAGCCTGATGAAGCCCCGTGTCGACGTCAGTGTATTTTCCTGAGTGCCTAATTGAGTCAATGAAGAGAAAATGTGGTTAATATATCTTGGTAGGAATGGGGAAGGTTAATGACTTTTCTGCAGCTTCTTTTCACATCCCTGGGAGGCCTGTGAAGGAAACATTATGGTACTGGAAATGTACTTCTATCTCTTTATCTCACTCATTGAGGAAGAATCTACTGGCTATCAGCAATAACACTTCCTTTACACAAACATGATTTTACACTCAAACTTCTCTTATCAGATACATTATCAATGCACAATTCCATAATATATGAAAAGCAAACACAGAGAAGGTGACTTTGGACAGCAATTACTGTGATTTCTTGGACTACTTATCAAGCTGACACAAACATTATGTGCTTCTAAACTTTGCCAAATGCCAAAGGAGTAGCTGTGTGGTGTACATTAAACAGCGCTGATGATAATAGGCTTAAGAGTCTAGTCATTCCAGTTGATGACAAATAAACAATTGGCTATTCTGCGATTTCAGAGCAGGATAAATATGAAGGTCAATTAGATGACATAGAAAAAGGTAAAGGGGCTCAATTTGACACCCATCTTTTCATAAGGGGGAAAAAAAACACCTAACAGCAGAAATTACAGTACCATCCAGTGTAGACTGAAGTGGCCCAATGCGGCCCATCCTCCGTGTTCTCCATACGTGTCTTGCAGATGGGACGTACAGCTGGGTGACCTGGAGAGAAAAGAGAGGAAGATAATGATGAACCTGAAGCTCCTGCCTGTGCCTTCGGGCCAGAATAAGGGTGACAGGTGACTTTACAAGCCCAAAACATCTTTAAAATAAGAAGTCTTTGTAAAGTTTTTCTTACTTTTACAGCAGTGGTGTACACCTACCTATTTTTTTTATTTTAATTTAGAATAATTTTCATTAACTTTTCAGCTACAAACAGTAGAATATGCTGACTCTGTTACCACCTCTTGAAATTATGCTCTTCTGTGCAACAAAAAAAGAAAAGAAAAGAAGCTGAAGTTTATGAAACTCCTCTCACTTGCTCTAAACATGTCTTCACCTTGTTAGGAGGGATAAAATGTGTTGTGATGATCATTTTACCCTTAAGAGGGTAAATTCATTTTATAATTCTGTCTATTAAAATTAAACCAATGCAGAACACGCAATGTAACAATGAACCAAACAGCTGTGATGACAGGTAAATACCTTATCGGCCCGGATGTTGACCTCCTCCGAGAGCCAGTGACCTGCCGGACAGAAGGGTCGGCGGATGTCACGAGCTTTCACCATCTTCACCAAGTTAGTGATGACCTAAAGTGGAAATCAAACACAAAGACACACACACACACATCCATACACATACCACATTAACATCTTTAAGTCTGACATCAGCATCCCTACAAGAATTCTTAAAAACCGCGGCTAAAGTCTATTTTCAGAGGAGAGCAGCTGTTTTTTTCTTTCACGTATAGGCTGTTCAGTAGGATGAGGTGCCTCCTCTTGGAGGAAAAAGAAAAAGCAATTTGAGAATTTAGCCATTAGTGCGCCATTTATGGGGAGTATAAAAGAAAAACGACCTGCGCCATCCCTCAACGTCCAGCCCTGTTAATTACTGGCGAGGTCTGCTGACATCAGCCATCGGACAGAGGAAGCAAAAGGCCGAGCAGCACTGGATCACAGAGCTGTAGCAGAAGGGCGAAGGGTTGCAATGATATTTCCATTTGGTTACACTGATATTACTGAACCTTTGTCCGAATGCATAATGCTTTAAAGGATTAAGACTTGTATCATTAAACTGAATTATTCTGACGCCATGTGAATGTTTCATGTCTCAATGAGCAACGGGGCCTCTTTCAGTAAAAGTTGCAACAGCATTTTTTACTCTTTGAACCTAAACAGCAATAACATATCCCTACTCAGTTGCTAATTTGCAATAAATTCAGACTTTTGATTCTGGTGCCATCATTTGTGATTCTCTGAGCCAGTGCGAGAGGGGCGTGGCACGTTATCTCTCGCTGCAGCAGACAGAGTAGAAAATAACTTAACTAAATGGTGCCTTTACATTTCACTTATGCAACAAGTCTTTTGCACATTTGGAAACCATTGCGAGTCTGTCTCTGTGAACATACAAAGTGACCTATGTCTGAATGACAGCATGCCCTCACTTTAGCAAACTAATGAGGCCTAAAATGTTACATATCCCATGTCTGGAAAGGCTTTAGAGCTTTTTCAGTCTGCTAATGACTCAAATGTTAATAAGAGGCTCCCCTGTTGCTATGGCAAGTCCGAGTTAGACACCTACTGAACAATCACATGCACGTCTTTGCATGAAGATGTAACGCTCGCAGCCAGTCAATTTCCGTATAGTACCTCAGCTAGATTATTCCAATCGACATGTTCATTTCTAAAGCATGTCATTTACATAGAGCAACAATCAATCTTGGCCAATCACCGGGAGGCAACCAGAGCCCGCAATAATGGCAAGTGCAAAAAGCTGTAAGAGGCACGTGACGATGGGTTTGGAGCAGACCTACCCCCTGACTCTGGGAATGAATAAGCATTCCTTAATTAGCCCATCGGGTTAAGTGCAAACCTTAATGGGCCTTTCCCAAACTCCGGCGTGACATCGTTCTCCAAACATAGCCAAGAAGAAAGTTCCATTAGCAATATTAATACAAGCTTAGTTGATCATTTTCATTCAATTAACTTCTTTCAATTAAATAGATAGCTCGACAATGGAGGTGATAAAAGATGGGGAGGGACAGCTGATGACACGAACCAAACATTAGCGTGTTAGGGGTCAGCAGCGTTAAACCGACTGTAAATCCCAACGTTCAATTTGGAAAATGCATTTCCCCTGCTCCCCACTTCTTTAATGGGTCGTTTTAGCTGACAAGAGGCCTTTGAGCTGATCTTTTATGAAAATCCCAGACATGCACTTCACGTATTCACCACCTTTCAGAGAACACCAGCGTTCACTTTTAAATCCTTTGTCTAAGGGCCAAGAACAAAGTTGCTTAAACACAGTTTCTCGTGGAGAAAAGCAAAGAGGAGAAGTGGAAGGAAGATGTGGAATCGAGACTAGGATTAAGTTGAGGATGTTTTCTGCCTCATTTCCTCTGGGTAAATAATCAGCGTATGACCTCTCTGGTGCTCCGTCTCATCTTTGCCTGTTCATGCATACATGAACTGGTATGGACAAGCATTAGGCCACTCTTGCCTCAACGCACAGAGGGACTACACAACAATTAGGCCCATCGCTAATGTGCCATGCTTCACGGTTAACACGCTGATGAACAGACTTCAATAAAACAGATTTAGCATGATCATAGGAAAGACTCATGAAGAATATGTAATGCTCACTAAATACATGTGTGCACTGAAAGCTAATTACTGAGATACTGCACGAATCCTTATTGTGCTTTGTGATCTTAACTCCTACTTGCACATGACTGCTCTGGATTTTTCTTATCGATGACAGAAAATATGCCCACACCTGAGGCCAGAAAAGATTCAAAAGTTTCCAATTTTATGCTAAATTTAACATTTTCTACTCAATATAAAGAAAAACTTCATCTTAAAACACTAGCTAAATTTCTCTCGCTGGTATATCTACTGAGAGACATTGTGCGCTCACTTCCTGCCTCATGTTTTAGGGTTAAACGCACGTGTAAGCAGGTTAAAGGAAAAATATTTTCGCAACAATGAGACTGTGGGGCTTTTTCTGACATTTTACTGCTCAAAACTTCAGTTTTCAAATTACTGGCTTTGCCACACAGTGAGAAAGCGGGTTTCTGACTTTATTTCCCATGATGCACTTAGAGAACTGTAGGAACTGCAAAGTTTGAAAGTTCTGCTTTTTAGAAACTCTGATATTTTTTCCCCATTACTTGATACACTTTTGTTTTCCATCAATTTAACTCTTAGCTTTTTTTTGAATGTGCACTTTGTGTTTGGCAAAACCCTCAATGTCATACGTTTTTATGCTCTGAAAATGAAGAAGATAATAATTTTACCTGGACATAATGAGAAATACAAAACAGACAAACAAAAATGCTATAATATATATATAGGACTACACATCTTACCTTGAAGAGTTGCACCCAGCGCTTCTGTTCCGCCTGGATATGCTGCTGAACCTCGGTGTTCGTCTTCACCCCCACACTACGGAAGGCAGCCATGTACTCCTCTCTGTGCTCTGCTTTGGTCTTAGGGTAGGCCAGCTTGATGATACCCAGACATGCATCTCTCAGACAGCGAGACAAAGTCACAAGCTCTAACAGCGTGAAGGGCATCATGGAGGACTGCGTCTGACCTGTTGAGAGGGAAAATACATTTACAGATATCGATCTGCACCACCTGTGACTGCTGAAAACAAAGGACAACAGCGATATACTATTGTGTTACAAGCGGGAAATGAGCGATATGGGATGGATACGTATCCCAATCTGTCGTACATTCGCCTGTCCAACGACCTCTGTACAAAATATTTATTTGTCAAATAAAATATGTAATGTAGATATAAAACAGGGCACTTAGAGGACTACCAGAGAACCGTAGATACGCCATTATATCAAGTTAAACAGATGTTTATGTCTATTACCTTCCATTGCATGTCCAAAAAACTCGCTGTCATGCACGGAGATAAGAGAGTGGCTGAAGAGAGAGCTGAAGAGATAGAAGACAGGAATGATGCGGTTGGAGTCCTCAAAGGACATGGGAGACCCTCGGGAGATCAGCTGTAAGAGTGGCACCATAGACCTAAAGGAAACACAGACACATAAACATTTGAAAAAATAAGTATAAGGTTGTGTGAGCAGGCAGAAATATACTATACATGGATACAAGCTAATGGGAGCTTAAAAACCTGCAGTTTGTCTACTGGCCAACTGAGGCCTACTGCAAAAGTCCCATGTTAAAAAGCTCAACTTTACAGCATTAAAAAACATATTTACAGATTGCTTCTGGTTAACTGAATCACACTGAATGGCAGGTGGAGCCGGTTGGTGTCTGCTAGGCCTCATCCACTAGTTCAAGTCATTAAACTGGACATCTTTACTGTGCATGTGCTGTTTGCCTGTTCTGGAGCATTTTTAATATCTGACTAATCTTATGGCTTGTAGTGTGGTAAAGACTGTCCAAAAAGTCTGCTTCTTTGAGGTTTTGGTGGGTGATATTCTGGTATTTTTTCATCTCTTACTGTATGGATGTTTGTGTGTTCCCCCTTTCATCGAAATGCCCATCTTCTATACCATCTACGATACAAACGTGGTGCGTCTGGAAAGTATTCACAGCGCTTGTTCCACACTTTATCAAATTACACTCATACTGTAAAATGGATTAAATTAATTTCTTACCTCAAAATTCTACACAAAATACCCCATAATAATATTTACATATATTTGTTATCTTGGTTGTGTGCTTAGGGTCGTTGTCCTAGTTCGAGATCCAGAGCACTTCAGTGCAGACCATCATCAAAGATATCACATTGCCGCATTCATCTTTCTATCGACCCTGACTAGTCTTCTCATTTATGCTACTGAAAAATCATCCACACAGCATGATGCTGTCACCACCATGCTTCACTGTAGGGATGGTCTTGTACAGCTGATGAGGAATGTCTGGTTTCCTCCAGATATGACACTGGGCATTCAGGCCAAAGAGTTCAATCTTTGTTTCATCAGACCAGAGAATTTAGTTTTCATGGTCTGAGATTCCTTCAGCTGCCTTTTCATTGAGGAGTGGTTTCTGTTTGGCCACTCTATCACACAGGCCTGATTGGTGGAGTGCGGGAGAAGTGGCTGTCCTTCTGGAAGGACAATGAAATTCTCCTCTTTCCAAAAGAGCCATGATGATGCTCTGCCCGAGTGACCATCGCAGTTCTTGGTCACGTCTTTATCTAAATCCCTTCTACTATAATCTCTCAGATTGGCCGGGTTACCAACTCTATTGAGAGTCCTAGTGGACTTTTTCCATCTACAGATGATGGAGGCCATTGTTCTCATTGGGACCTTCAATGCTGCAGAAATGTTCCAGATCTATCTGAATGTATCTGAATCCATCTTGGAGTAAAACTGTAACATGACAAACTGTGCAACAAATGAAGCACTGTGAATACTTTCTGGATTCACTGCATATCTATAACAATGCTTCAAAAGATAAAAATCGTATAGTCAATGTTAGAGTAGCTCACCCAGTGATCATCTTGGTTGTCATGGAGGTGATGAGGTGCCAGAGATGTCTCAGGAAGCGTGCATTGAAAGCCAAGCTGTACAGAAGTCTGCAGAGAACAAAGACAAGCACATAAAACAGAAATATTTAAGTATATTAAATGGAACTGAAAAGACTTGAGTGAGATATTTCAATCAAATGGCACAATCAGTGTGAAGAACAATACATTTACCCTTGGCCAACCTGTTTACCCTGCTGAGATTGTCAACTTTGTCCCGTTAATCAGGGAACACCCAGAAAAAGACACTGTTAACTAGAGGTGGGAATCACCATACATCCCACGATACGATATTATCACAATACTTAACGCACGATACGATATTATTGCAATTTTTTTTAAATATTTTGCGATATTCAGATTCTGCACATAAAGGTAAACTTTATCAATATTCATTTTATCTAATATCAAAGTCTCGCACTCAGTCTTTCTCTCATTTCAGTCAGTTTTATTGTTGACAAACTGAACGGTTTGTATTACAGTCTAGTCCAACTTAACTGAATGCAACCATCTGGTACAATTATAGCTATTCTGAACTATGCAATATGAAAACTATGCAGCCCCTTCAGCAACTGAAGAATTTGAAAGTAAATTAAAACAAAATATAATTTTACATTAAATAAAAAAGTTTTAAACTTAATTAAAATAAAACATGTCTTAAATTAAAATAAGTAAACTGTCGTGTTTATTGCTGCCAAAAAACAAGTTAAACACATTTGGACAGTGAAGGAATGTCAGGATTCTTGCTCAGAAAAAGGATCAACTTGCTCTGAAGTCAAAATATCGATTTCTGCTGTCCCTGTATCGATACAAAATATCACGATACTACACAGTATCGATTTTTTCCCCCACCCCTACTGTTAACCAATATTTCCCTCACACAATTTTCTTAGTATTTTTTCTTTCTGTCCTTTCATACCTTGTGAGGGGCAAAAGGAGATTAAATTAGCCATTAAGCTTTATTTAGGCGAGGCACCTTCCATTAGTAAACTAGTTGGTGGTGAGGGTGCCCATAAACAGCCCTCTGTCTTCCTGCTGGAGCCCCATTTAACTTAATGACCAGGGGACGGGGGGACAAGACAATGCAGGACGTAGGAGGAGGGGAAACCTGGTCCTCGCTGTGACCCTGCAGTACTGGCATGCTTCCACAATCACAGTGAATTACATGATAACGCAGAGGAAGGCCCACATACTTTGCTTTAGTCTCTCTGCACTCAACGGGCTGTGGCACCAAGGTGTGAAGGCGCTCTTTGTTCAAGTGTGTGTTTTTTTTGTGTATGCTCCTAAATTGCATGGCTTTTCACACGGAGGATAAGAACAGGTGACAATAATGTGGTAAGTAAGCTGAAAAGCAACATGAAGTAGCCCTGCATATAATAGGCCTCTGTCTACTGACACCTACTGTATGAGGATGATTGCCGTTAACAGGGCAGCATCATGTGTTCACAGTAACACGGAGGAATAAAGGTCAGCAGAGGAAAAACATAAAAGTTGGTTGAGTGGGAAAGGGGCAATTCCATGTCTGCTAGATAGTCTCATCTCAGTATCAATGTTCAAATTCCCATTCCACCATCCAATCTGGCAAAATGGAGATTAACATTAGGAGCAGACAAACCTCAATATGGCTTGAAAAGTGGTTTGTGTTGATCACAGGCCATCTGTCAGTGCAACAAGACACTGGAGGGAAGCAAGGAGCAGTGCTGTGGGCCCATAACAAGTGATGTGGGTGTTTGATTGAAATGGGAAACAAAACACTAAATGCCAGCTGACATGCTGATTTACAGCCTGAGAGAACCCAAACCCCCATTTCAATCATGGAATGAACCACTAATAAACAAAGTCAAGACATCAGAAGGGGTTGTGTGTACATATGTGTGAGTGTGTGTGTAAAAAGCAGGTTGATGAATAATGTCTGGATCATTTCATTTTGCACTAATGAAAGAATCTCAGTTCAGCAGAAAAAACAAACAAACAACAAAACCCCCGAAACATCAGCCGTGCTCAGGTCAGATCTGATACCGTGAGCCTTGAACGCGCCTCAGCCTACAGACAAATTTGTTTTGCTGGCTTCTGTGTCCGCATGAACCAACAGCATTTTCTTTTTTTAAATCACACCACCACAAAGATCGCGGTAACGGTTCAAAAGTAAATGGAGGTCACTTAATCAGAGTGACCCTGTTAGCAGCAGAGTGCTACACTGGAAGAAACCAAACAATCAAAGTGAAATTACACCAAATATCCAACCCTAACAGTTAAAGTGAATTACTGCGTGGTCTCCAGAACAAACCTGAGCTAAGTATAATTAGCAAATCAATCAAAAATCTATTTTGGTCCCAGTTGATTGTCCTGCTTTTAAAGTTACCCTATAGAAAAAAGTGTGGAGTGCAGTTTAATGAGACATTTTACATATTTATTAAAAAGGCGGTGTGCTGGGCTGGCTGCACGACTGGCCGGCTTCTTTTTTTTTTTTCCTTTCTTTTTTTTGCTTTAAGACTCGTAAATCAAGACCAGAATGCAATTTGCTCCCCTTAGCCTCTTGTAAAGCTATCCCATCCACTCCTGCAGTGATTAATCTTTCTCAGTGAGCTAATTATTTTGTACAGATATCCAATAATGATGGAAGAGGAAGGACAGGATTTATGGTAAAAGCCGAGAGAAAGAGGAAGCTGTAAAAATAAATAAATAAATTTAAAAATAAGGGCTGAAATTCTTCTAAATTCTTGTCAACCGCTTGTAAGCAACAATGCAAAATTACTAGCTGACCACTAGAGTCCAGCTGCACATGCCCAGTTTATATAATTACTTGAAAGGATTTGGGGAATGTTATGGATTCAAATAATAGCAAAATATCTGTCTAGTAAAGCAGAGCTGCTAATGTGATCCCGAAATGCATCCTCACATATAAATGAACTGACAGCAACTGGCTTCAATAATAATTAACTAGAGCTGGTTGCCCGTCCATGAAGCTCAGCCTGATCACCTCCTGTCAGTCAATGCGCCATCTAGACCCCCACGCTACCTCTGACATCCTGGCCCTAATGCAATCAACCTGAAAAGGGGTAATTGCCCTCATCCAGAACTGACAGCCTCCCTGACATCCCGGCTTCCTCTGCCGGTTGTAAATGCCAGCGGGTGCGGACCTCTGATAACTGCCTGCCTGCCTGGTTTTATCGTTACTTACATTACTGCTTACAGCGCGGAAACACATAAACACACAGTTTTCCTCTCCATCAGGTGGCTCCTGGGATGCAAGGCTGATCCCGTCGAGATGTGCAAAGTGTTATGATATGCCATTTAAAAAACGAAAAGCTTTTACATTTACTTTGATGTTGTGTTTTTGATTCAGACACGCCTCCTGGCGTAAGGCTACTTACATTAACTTCATTACATGACACAGGAAGAATGAAAGACCCCCCAAAAATGTGCGTCTTTGTACCTGACTTTTGGCACCATGAGACGATGCTGCACCATCAGCGTGTGACAGATGGACGCCATCATGGTGAAGACCTCCTC